GCAGTGGTTCTCAACCTTCCTCATGCCGCGACCCTTTAATACAGTTCCTCATGTTGTGGTGACACCCAACCATAAAGTTATTTTTGTTGCTACTTCATAACTGTAATTTTGCTACTGTTATGAATCGTAATGTAAATATCTGATATGCAGGATGTATTTTCATTGTTACAAATTGAACATAATTAAAGCATAGTGATTAATCACAAAAACAATATGTAATTATATATGTGTTTTCCGATGGTCTTAGGCAACCCCTGTGAAAGGGTCGTTCGACCCCCAAAGGGGTCTCGACCCACAGGTTGAGAACCGCTGGTCCAGTGGTAAAAGCAGGGACAGGGGCAGCGACACCCCAGGAGGACTGAATGGAGGCCATGCGGGCCCTGTGTGGCCAGGGGAGGAGCCCTTAGCTCTGCAAGTGAAGGGAGAGCTGGAGGGAAATGCTGATGGGGTCTGAGCTCAGAGACACAGAGATGAGAGATGGAGGGAGGCTGGAGCGGCTGATCCTGGGGTGGGGGTGGGGGTCCAGAGGGCTCTCCCGTCGGTGGCGGTGGCCAGAGCCCAGTCGCTATCCCGCAGGCGTCCAGGCGGGAATGCAGGTGTCCGTGGCCCCGCTGGTGGAGGTGATGCGGGGGGAGAGAGTCACCCTGGACTGCACCCTTTTGGGGGACCATAACCAGTTCCTGCTGAAATGGTTCCTGGTGAGTGCCTGGGGCTGGGGGCCGGGGGCCGTGGAGGGGGACCTGAAAGTCAGCCCAGGGGGGCTGCACACATTCCTTCCTTCATCGGAATCTGAAGGGCCCTAAGAACGCCACCTCGCTGCCTTTCCATTTGACAGCTGGGAAAACTGAGGCCCAGCAAGGAAAGGCATTCTTTAGGTTCAGCTGGTGTCGGGGCCCAGCTGAGACCAGTCCCCCTTCAAAGTGCTGGCTCGAGAGAGAGAGAGAACATCCAGAGACTGACACCAAGCACGCAGGACTGGGGGTGGGACTAACAAGAGAGAAAAAGGAGAGAAAATATAAAGCAGACAGAGGGTGGTAGAGGGAGAGAAAATGGGAACAGAGTGAGATGGAGAAAGAGGGAGACCGAGAGAGGAAAAGGTGACAACAGATAGAGAACAGGGGCGGGAGGGGTGGAGAGAGAGAGACAGAGGGACCGAGAGAGGTAACAACAGGAAGAGAGCCACCGAGCAGCAGCGAGGAAGGGACCTGGAGAGAGACAGAGGCTGAAACGGGCAGCCGGCAGCCCTGAGCGGAGGCCCTCCCTGCCCACAGGTCGAACGCTCCGGGGCCCGCCACCTCCTCGCCGAGGCCCAAGTGCAGGGCTCCGAGGTGAAGCCCAGGGTGCACACCTCCCGGGGCCGCAGTCCCCCATACCAGCTGGAAGGCCAGGGGCACCTGGTGCTGGTGGAGGCCCAGGTGACAGACGAGCATGACTATGTGTGCGTGGTGACGGCGGCAGTGGGCACTGCCGAGGCCACCTCGAAGGTCCAGGTATTTGGTGAGTGTCTGTGGGCACCCGGGGGCGGGGAAGGGTGTGGGGCAGGGGAGGGTGCGGGAAGGGGTTCCTGACAGTAACGTCTCCCCCATAGTAAAGCCAGAGACCACCAAAGTCTCCCCCAACAAAGGGATACTGTCTGTGATGGATGACTCCGCCCAGGAGGTACCGCGGGGCGACTTTGATTCCAGGGTCCTAGGGGAAGGCAGGCTGGGGGCGCCTAGAATCCTGGGTCGTAAGGTTGGAGGGGCAGGGCTGCCAGACTCCTGCATC